GCCACTGTACATGGTGAGGGAAAGAGGGTCACGCAGAACGAGCTGATTTTACAGGGGGGCCTTGGTAGGCCAATTTATTATTGTCGCTGCTGCGTTTGTTGAAACTGGTCGGCCGCATTTTATGTTTATCATCCAGTGTGTTTTATTTAGATAGAAACTTGGCTACGCTGTGGTCAGGGTGGGTCCCATGGCCGATTGTTACGTTACCTAGATATTGTGTCTATGGAGTGCCTGGTGCATTATTAGAGAATACAAGGGGAACGGACGAGGCGACAGCAGTCTTCATGACAGTTGGCAGGCCCTCCGCAGGATGTTTCAGGGCATCCAGCTGGACCCCCAGAGAAGGCGTTTCCCCACCCACTGGCATGCACAGGCTGGTGCCCCTTCCTTGTGGTGCATGACCCTCCCAGTTTGTTTCCCCGGCCCCCACGTGCCAGAGCCCGGCTGGAGGCTGGCCAGGGAGGCCTGCCAATCCCCACCGCCAGCCAGCCAGCCAGCCACCGGGCACCCTGCAAGGGCTCGGGAAGAGGGCCGTTCCCTCAGCAACCAGGGACTCTCGGCTGCCATGCGAGCGACTGACCTGAAAGTTAAAGAGGAGGAAAGCTGGCTGAGGTGGGGGGGTGTGCTCCAGGCTCGGAAGGGGGAGAACACCTCCCCTTGGCGTTGGCTGGCTCTCCTGGGGTGCTAGTGGTGGGGTGCAACATGGCCCCCCACCGTACCCACTGGACCAGGCTTGGCCGGAAAATCTTTTCCAACGCGTGGGGTCTCTTTCAAGCCCGCGCGGCTGCTTCTGCGCTGGAGAGCTAAGCCCAACTTAAGGTACGTTTCTTTGACCCTCTTTTCTCTCCAGTTAGTTCGGGCGGCTGGCTCCCGCTTGCGGTTCTTAATGGTGAACTTTGATCACAGCACAGAAAAAAATCCCCCCTTTTTGGGGCCAATAACTCCCACTTTTTCACCTTGGAGTAAGATAAACTTCATCTCTTAAAAGCCTTACTGAGCTGCTTGCGGGGAGAACGGTGGTTCCCCTTTTATTCCTGTATTCCCACCGGCCCACCAAGGGTTTGATTTCTCAAAAGTTACGTAATGCCAAACTTCTCACCCTCCAACTTGAGAGGCCTGGAAGCTGTAATTCGACCAGATCAGGACGGTAAAAGAGTTACAAGGGAGGTAACTCCCTGTTAACAAATTATTTTGTGGTCCTTGTTGGTAACAAGGATGGGATTAGGGTTCAAAAGGAGTGCAAGGCACAGAATGAAAAGGGGTTTAGTGAATAATATTGTCTAGGGTTTTTTTGTGGTGCGCCATGTGGATTTTAAACTTACCAAAGCCCACACTGGCATACATTTGTGAGGCTTTAACGGCCACGATCCTTTGTTTTGTTTCCATCCCAATTGCTGAAACAATTGCTGAAACTGACACACAAGTGCCTCTTGGGGGAGGGGGAAATCCAGCACTCTTTTCCCGAACACCGTCAGAAGTTGCCGTAGCAACCAAAGGGAATACGGTTGTTTTAAAAAGTAATTTTCCATGCTCTGAATCTTACTTGGTGTGTTTTGGGGAAGAGGGAGGGAGAAGGCGTTATTTGGTTGCAGCCTCTGAATGGTGCTGGAATAGCACTCTGTATATGCTCAAGGATGCTCTTGTAGAGCCCTTTGCATGTTGCAGGGCTCCGATAAAGCCGAATCCTGATTCAAAGCAGAAGCGAATGGCATTTTGACTGTTCTGGAGCAGAGGAAGGCGCGTGGTTTGGATCCCTTGATATTTTGCAGCCGTCTCCATTCCAACCTGTGAGCCAGCAGCCGAATCTTACTTTAACCCATAAGAGAAAGCAACGCAGTCTGTGTAGCAGACACAACTCTATAGCTCTGTCCTCCCACGGATGATCCACAGGGCTTGCCATGAGTAGTACTAGAAGCCATCCTGGTGGAGATTGTGCTGACGCCTCACTTTTGTGCTGGGCAGTATCATTTTGGCTGCGTATGCAATTTGGCTCGAACACCAGAAGGTCACACAGCCTGAACGTCAGTAATATACGATTAATAACTTTTGTGATTCAGATCTCCGTGTGCCCCTGGCAGGTGTGCTGTCGAAAGATGCTCATCAGGCAAAATAACTCTGAATGACTCAACCAAGTGAGCCAGGTCAGATGCTGGCAAAAATAAGAGACGATCTGCATGATCATTAACTGCCTTGACCAAGGGGAGGAGTCAATGTGACAATCAGACCATAACTAGAGCATCCACTGCGCACCCCCTATATGTATTTCAACACAAAGAGTCATCCACTAAAACGGAGAAGTCAGTATTGCATCTTTCCTATTCTTTGTACCCTCCCAATGTTTTTTTTTAATTTCACCTGCTAGAATCCCTCACCCAGAGCTTGGAAAAGCTACTCTCTGTTGCCGAGCATGCTTGCTGGGAGAATCTGGAAGGGGTACACCCCAAAAAAGGGAACTTGTTCAAGCTTTGCTTTTATTCTCTGTGATGCTACCTGGGGCTGATGGGAGCTGCAGAAAGTCAAAGCAAATGAACCTAGTAGGGTAGGGGATGAGTAGAACTGTAGTCCAAAGCATGACTTTTCCAACCTCTGTGGGAAAGAGAACAGGAGAATTGGTAGAAAAACCAGAGGGGACACACACACACACACACACGCGCACGCACAACAGGAGAACTGGTAGAAAAACCAGAGAGGGTATGATTTGAAGGAGAGAAGTCTGCCACATACACACACATATCCAAAGACATTTTCTTTGAATGAGACAGGATGGTTGTGCGGTGGTTAAACTGCAGTACTGCAGGCAAGACTCTGCTCACAAACAGAGTTCAGTTCCAGCTTTCCTTCCTTCTGAGGTTGGTAATTTAAATACTAAGCCCCCTGAGGGTGTGTGTGTGTGTGTGTCTGTCTGTCTGTCTGTCTGTCTGTCTGTCTGTCTGTCTGTCTGTGTGTAGGATAATGTGTAGCTTGCATAATTAAATTCTAGACCACCCAAAGAGTGTTTTGAGCGCTATCAGGTGGTATAGAAGCAGTACAATTTGCTTTGCCTTGCTTTGCACAATAAAAGTGACCGCTGGATGCATAACAAAGAGTTGGTATTTGGGGAGGGGGTGTTGAGCATTGCTCTCTTGGAGGAGCTGCTGTTCTCTCTCTTTTATTAGCAAAAGAAGAGTCTGAGGAAAGCAAAAAAAAAATGGCATTACAGCGCTCAACCCTGCATTAAAATGACCCAAAGGGGTTTACTACAGTATAGCTTTGGATTGGCCACCAGGGGGCAGGCTTTCCCCTCTGTCGTCTTGTGCACGGGATAAGAGGGTTTTAGTACCAAAGGCCTCCAGGACGGGAGGGGGTGTCACCTGAGCCGTGGCTGGCAGCCTCCCATGGGAACCGCATGTGGTGCATCTCGTGACTCCGCCTTGTGGTTTTGGGAGAACCTGCAAACCCCAGGTGTGGCCGGGCCCTGGGAGGCAGGCGGCAGGGCTGGCGCTGGTGGCAGTTTACCTGGAAGTGCAGAAGGGAGGAAGGCTGATCAAAGAACACCTTGTTCCCAGATCAAGTGGCGACGTTAATTCCTTGCAGAAGCGATGCTTTCATTGCCCGAGTCCCTCTGTGTCTGAGTGACATCCCTGGGTGGCAGGCAGGAATCCAACAGGCGGCGTCTCTTCCATCCACCGCACACACACCCATGCAATGACAGCACATTAAAGAAAGAAGACACAAATCTCCTGGTTGGGAGGGGAGAGAGAGAAATGGGCCGAGGAAGAAGCAGGGTTTCAGGACTCGAATTATTCCAGAATAAGATAAGGCAGAGCTCAGGCTTGACCCGAGAATGGAGCCAGGCCAGGACGCTCCTTTAAGGGAGCTCCGGTTTCGAATCATGGCCCTCTGGCGGGCAGAGGAGAAGCGAGGAACAGATGCACCTCTCCAGCTGGGGGCGCCAGTGGTCCCGAGAGGGCCTCCGAGAATTCGAAACCAAACCTCGTCTGGGCTGGTCCCAGAGTGTTGAGTTTCTGTTTATACCACCTGTTGTTCCCATTTTGACATTGCCTCCTTGGGATTACTGCTTGGATTATTTCCCTCTGCCTCTGGTGGCTGCTTTTTCTTTTTTTAAGTGCTAATAATAATTTTCCCTCTGAAATCAGGCAGCCCCCCATCCGTGCCCATGAGGGAACTATTTGGTTTTTTATAAGGCACATGTTGTGTGTGATATTTGAACTTTCAAGGTGTCCTGCAGGATCTTATCTGCAGTTGTTAGCTAACCTTTATATCCCTCTGTTCTTTCCATGAGGCAGAGTTCACGCCTCTCCCCCTCAATGCTTTATCTTTACAACGACAGCCCTGCGAAGCAGGTCGAGACTGAGTCAGTGTGATTGGCCCAAGGTCACCTGGTGAAATTTATGGCCAAAGGATGAATTTGAACTCAGCTCTCTCCGAATCCCAGGACAGCTCCCTGAACCATTATGCCAGTGCATCCACAACATGACAGAGGTGGCCGTTGAGCTGGACGATGTGTGCTGGAGTCCCTACCGTAGCTGTCATGGCACAACAAAGGAGAATGGGAGTTGTTGTTTCTCTCATGGTAGTTGGGCAGAAGAATCTGTTTCTGTTCGTTTTTATTCATGGTGGTTTTATGTTGTGAGTCGGTTATTGTTTCTGTTCCCTTTTATTGTTGTCAGGCATGCTCTGATATTAGAGGGGCAGAACAGAAATGAAATAAATAAACATACAAGGAGCTTCAGAAATGCTGTTTCCACCGCTACCCCCTCTTCGTTTTGCTTTTCGTTTCTGTCCTTGCTGTTTTCACTAAAACGCTTCTTCGGCTTCCTTGGAGAATAAAAAGCTCATGGACTGGTGCTGAAAAAAGGCTGCCGTGTAGGGGGGACGGTGGGCCTTTCTGGGGAGGCCGTTCTGCAGAGAGGGTGCCGGTTTGCTTCGCACGTCGTTTTCCACTTCCGCTCATCCCACAGGGATGCTCGGAGGACGGCTTCCAATTATGGCCTTTCTTAGCAAGGATGGTGACCAGAGAGGCAACAGAGAGAGAGGGATCCCCCCCTCTCCCCCTCTCCCGGCCACCATTGCTTGGAAATGTGGCTCTCTCGTCTTCATCGTCTTTTTTTGGAATAACAGCAGATCCAGCCTAGGGAATCCTTGAATTGGGGGGGGGGGTTCTGGGGAGGGCCAGGGGTCTCGAGGTAGGGACCAGGGAGCGGATCCTGCCTCAGACACAGGAGAGCTGCTCTTGCCAGTCAGAGCTGGTGGTGCCAGGTGAGGTAGACCAAGGATCCAAGCAGAGGTGGTGACCAGTCTCATATCACAAGTCCCACATCTGAGATCCTATTAAAAACAAGCTCTTTTTCCCCAGTAAAAAGGGAGGAGTGGGTGGGCCCTGGGTCACATACCAAGTCCAAGTCCTTTTTTCATGGGGGGGGGGAACCAAGCCAAGTTCCCAGTCCCTGGTGAGACTTCCGTCTGAGTCCCGCTCCCTGGGTCCACGTGAGGAGGAGGGGGCTCCTGGTGGGTCCGTGGAACGCCGCCGCCTCTCTTCCTCTCTGATGGCCCTCCCTGTTGTGCTTTTTTTCCCCCCTTCCAGTCGATGCCCCCAGCGCCACCCCCAGCGCCTCGTCCCTCACGATGTCCCAACTGTCCTCCACCTTGAAGCGCTACATCGACTCGCCCCGCTACTCCGACCCCTCGTCGTCGTACAGCAAGGCCTCGTCCACCTATGGGGCTTATTCTTCTTACACCTCCAACCTGTCCTCTTCGTACCCGGACAAGGAGAAGGTCGGCTACAAGCCCGGCGCCAGCTCCGGCTACCTGACGTCCGCCCACCTGCGGGCCTCGGGGGCCATCTCCTCCTCTTCTTCCTTGAACTACGATGGGGGCGGGCGGCTGCTCCAGCGGCCGGATTCTGTGGCCAGACTCAGCCCCAGCTACTGCCGGGTGCCGGTGAGAACCCCTGGCAGTGGGGGGCTGAGCGGCGGGGCGGTCGGCTACTCCGTCAGCAACACGGCCTCCCCCAGCTATGGCAGCACGCTGGCCCGCAAGAAGTCCAGTAGCCACATGGACCTGGCCCGAGACCTCTCTGGCATCCACCTCTCTTCCAGCTCCTACCATGCGGACCCGTCTCCGTCCTCCTCCATCCTCGTCCGAGGGGGTCCCTTCGTGGCCCGCCCCCGCCAGGATTTGTGCACCCTGCAGGGCCTCTACCAGTCCACCCAGCACTCGGATTACGTCAAGGACTATCTGGAGTCTTACGGGCGCAAAGGTGGGCGCTCCCCGGCCCCCAGCCTTCACGGCTCCACGCAGGAAGTGATCACCCCGACGCTGAGGCCCACCAGCCACTGCTCACTCCAGCAGTGGGACCAGCCGGACAGCCGGACGGACATCCTGGCCAAGGAGACTTCGGTAAGGCAAGGGCATTTCTTTGAGGGGGTGTCTCATGTTTTGCATTTTGGGGGCACCGCGGGAGGGAGGGGGTTGGGGTTATGTAGCAAAGTGTGTGCTCGGTGTACAGGAGGTCCCAGATTTCAACCCCTGGCCGGGAGAAACTGGTGATTCCTGGTCCTGCCGGGCTAACGAATCCGCTCCCGAGTTTTATTCCGAAGTTTAAAACAGCTGTCTGCGATGCCGAGTCTTGCCGGGGGAACAGGTGATGTTTTTAAAAATGAGTTTTCAGGTATAAATGAGAGTTCTACATTATCATGCAACATCCCACCAAGGATCACCTAACAAGAGTTAAGGATGGTGGGAAAGAAATAAGGGGCTAGGAGGAAAGGTAAAGGGGAGTAAAGGGTAAAAATATTGACCGGGCTGGTACAACTGCAAAATTCTCACCCTTCTTTGTGAAGTATAGCATTAGTATAATTCCTGTGGGCAACAACTTTCATAATAAATCTCTCCATAATTTCTGCTGCGTTTTCAGAGGATTGGCTGCAGGAATGCTTTTGTAAGAATGCATACTTGGGGGTGGGTAGGATTCAGTGCCTGGGGTAGCTCTTATAAAGGTCGGACCGAAAGCCGGTGTGGATTCCCTTCCCCCACCCTTGTGCTAGTGGAGTCACCAGCTTTTGCTGCCTTTAGCATCTTTAGTGATGGCTGGGGAACACTCCCCCATCTAAAATATGGTTCGTTCAGGCAAGTCACTGTTGGCTAGATGAACCGACGACTACCTGGCTCCACTCAGAGTAGGGCAAGTTCCTAACATGGTGGACGAAGGCTGTGTTTAGGTGGCTGAGCAGCTGCAATGCACAGCGTCCTCAACACACACATCCCTGCATCCAGCAACCATTGTGCTTGAAAATCCTGCGGAGCAGCGGCTGCTGGTCGGTGTCAACTACACTGGCTTGGATGGACCAAGGGTCTAAATCAAAACGGCGGTGGGTTTTGGACTACAACTCCCAGAATTCCCTAGGCAACCGACCCTCTGGAAGTTACAGTCCAAAGGCACAAATCGGGACAACTCTAATATGAACCTTTCTGCTCAATAGGTGCCTGTCGTCTAATTAGCGCTGGAACATGAATTCGTGACTTGCTTTGACTGTGTGCGTAGTTTTTTTTTTTCCACATCCAGTAGGCGTAAAAAGGCACCCTGATTAACTGGGCGGTAGGCTTTTAAAAAAATTAATAGCGCTACTCTCAGAACACACACACACATACACACACACACAATCTGTGAAAGGAGGGTGAGTGTTTCTTAAAGCAGAGCTTTGGGCCGGTGGGGGGGGGATCTGGGTGCCCTTTGCAACCTCTCTTTTAAAACCACCCCCGGCTGCTTATGTTTTGAGCCTTTGTTCTTATCCTTTTGCAAAAGTGATCCAGAGGGATTGCTTCCTTGCTGGATCCTTTCCCTCTGGTGGCAGCTTCGAAGGGGCCGACCTCCCATCTCATCCCGCCAACTTCAGGCTCAGCTGGCATAATTTTGCAAATTCCATTGGCGACAGATAGATAGATAGATAGATAGATAGATAGATAGATAGATAGATAGAGAATTTTGCAAATTATTGGCATAATTTTGCAAATTCCATTGGCTACAGATAGATAGACAGACAGGCAGGCAGGCAGGCAGGGATACAGATTCAGATTCAGATTCAGCCCCTATGCAGGAAGAAGGGAAGTCTGGAAGTTATAATCCAGAAAAGTCACTTTCCAAACTTTTCTGAGAACAGCTTTTCTAAATTTTTCCATAACATGGCCTGAACGTCAACCCTGGAGAGGTGAGGGATGTTTTTTTTCCAAAACCATTTTGGGAGCAGGACAGATCTGACTGCCGTAAGTAATGCCCGCTGGACAATCGGTCTGCAGCACAGTGACCTGATTTGACTGTGCCAGGTCAGTGTGTTCAAATCTGGGTTGCTTGTTCAATGCCCAGGTCTGGCCTTGGGCAATTTGTGTTCCCAAGTTCGGGACATCGGAGTAACAAACAGTAGGCATGACTCCGTCAAGGACGGAACCCAGTCACCCGCTAACTCCCCGCTCTTGGGGTGGAAGGGGTCAGGAGAAGCTGTACATCTTTATCTGGAGGCAATGGAAACTTTAATGGGGCATAGGTTTACTTCATTGTGATTCTACAGTAGTTCACAGACCAGCAGGGTTCCACTGAGATTTTGAGCTCATAGTTTGCACGTCATTCATTACACTGGGCATTATTCGTACATTGCATGAGCCTTGCTAGTGAGCCAGGAAAAAAAATCTGGCTATATTATTCTCTGGTCCCCCCCTAGTGGTCGGTTCTGATATTGCTTGCTGAAAAATCATTATGAAAATACAAGAGGCAGAAACAGGGAGTATTTTCCTTGCCATTTGAGATTAGTAAGAGGAGGGCGTAAAAGTTTAAAAGTTTATTTCAAAATGTCTCTTAAAATATGTCTTAGGAAATAACTAGCCATTAATCGTTATAGTTAAGTAACTTAGACGTTTCATAAATAGTTACTCATAATTACTACCAAGCTCTCCTGAGACTTCATATTTAAAGAGGCGGGTTGTGCTTCAACTGCTTTGTGTAAGCATTCTCCCGGCATTTCTGAGAATGCTCATTTGCATTACATATTCTTCTCCCTGTTTCCCCATATCCTCTGGAGGAGTAATTGTGCTACTCTGCTCCAACAAAGGCAGCCACAGGTCCTGTGGCATCGTCCCGGGAAATGCACAGACAAACAAACAAAACATGAAATGGCCAGAGGTCCATTGCCAGCTTTGTTCTTTTCGTTTTAGAGCAGAAATGTTTTGGGTACCGAGTGCGAAACCTGCCATTTCTGGAGCATGGTGGGGGATGTATTGTTTTCTGTTGAGGTGGCTGCAGAAGCCTAAAAAGAAGGTCTTGGGGGGGGGAGACACTTGGCCCGCAGATGGTTTAAACCCAGGATTGCCCTAAAGACAGCATTCTTTAAGCCGGGAAATACTTGGTCTATTTGGGACATAGAAACGCCGCCCCCCCCCCGTGTCCAGGAAAGTGGAAAGGACTGCATGTGATTTGGCTCTTACAAAGAAGAATACACACCCCTGCCTCACCCAGGCTGCAGAGGCCATTGCCAAAACTCACAAAAACACTCTCTCACAACACACACACACACACACACACACCCATGTCCCCCCCCCCGCCATCACTTCATGTGCTCAAACAGCTCCCTGGGTCTGCCATCTACCTGTGGCGAATCCCACCCTAAGCCTGGTCTCATCTCGCGGCTCAAAGACCTGTTGACACAGCAAAAATGTGTGTGTGTGTGTGTGTGTTCTCTCAAGGGAGCATTAAACAATTAGACCCGTTACATAAACCCCAGGGCCCAGTGCCAAACTGGGAGCGAAGCGGGTTGAGGAGCAGCCCTAACAACAGGCTCCCGACTCCAGGGCGAAAGTTCACCCTTTCGTTGCCAGGAATGGCGCCCGCCTGTCCCAGTCCGGGAAAGGGCCACATCTGGCAGCTTTTCCTGGGTGCTCCTAGCGTCAAACACAATAAATAGGGTGGGGGAAGCTCTCCCCCAAAGCTTTAGCCAAGCTTCCTCTCAGCCCACCCAGAGACCCGGGACGGTCACACCTCTTCGTAGCCCCGGGCTGGCCCTTCTTCCCACCCAGAGTTTGGAAAAGTTACTTTCTGGGATGGATCTCTAAAAGCACTTCACTGACACAGGTTTTCACGTGGCAATGCCATCAAACTATCACACACACACACCCCTCGGGCCACGCGGGGTGGAGGTTCCTGGGGCTGCAGTCCTAAAAAGTAACTTTTCCAGGTTTCATAATACTCACACCATCCCCAGCTGCAAAATTCCATGATGGACAACTGCCCCTTACCTGTTACAGGAAAGAATCGGGTTGTGATTGTCATCAATAAATAAATTAACTAAAGTAAGGAAGTAAGTAAGTGAGTAAGTAAGTAAGTAAGTAAGTAAGTAA